ACAAACAGAAATTCTCCAACAGAGAGTAAACAAAGACCTGTTCAGCTAACTCAGTGACATCTTGCAGTAATATCAAATGATAGCAATTGATTTGGCATAGGGAAGAGAACTGAAATAGTGAGCTGACCAGAGGTGCGGGACTGTTTGATTAGTCTGAACACTTCATTGCATCGCGTTATCATACTCAATAACAATACCACTGATAACAGCACAAACACAGCAATAATCGTCAGAAAGAGCAGATAGAATAACCATCCATTCGGAACCTTAATGTAAACTGTGAACGGGACGCCAGCGCGCCTTTAGCAGATTTATTAATACCACTTTTAAAATCGAATTCCACAGTGGAACTAACAGACTTTTGTATGCAAGTATGGTCGAAAAAATACTTGGAATGCTGGTATCTCCAAGATTAAATATGTGCTTGAACACAGCATCTTTGCTCAGATTAGTTCTCATTAAGAGACAAACACAATGAACTGATGAAAAGGACCTAGTGAAGTAAACAAAATCCAGCTAGGAGATGCTACGGTGCGCTGGTGAACGAGAACATGAATCAAAATGCATCAATCCGGCCAGAAAAGTTTTGTCACAATCTAGTACACTACCTCCAGACACCGTTTCAGCTGTTTCTTTCACGGATCCTCAATTTATAACGATTATCAGTAGCAAAACGTCCCACTCAGTGAATTTCACTCACGTATATGATGATGATTATACCTTTCACTCCATATATTGCTGGACTGTTCAACTCTTAACATGATCAAGAAAAAAACAAAAATTCCCCGTCTTTTAGGTTTGAATTTTTACAAAATATTAAATGTTTCTTCCAAAATTCAGAAATCTGGAAAAAAAGTTTTTTAAATGGTTTTGGCGGACGAACTCATATGACTTATCCCACTACTTTAAATTTGTTCAAAAATTATAAAATTCTCAGCAGACGTAATAATCGATCACATCCCTTTGACGAGAGGACTGGAAAAGTTGCGGTGAAAATTCCTACGTTAAATGACCTTTTAAAACATAACAAAAATCGACTGAGTGCTTGGCAAACGATGTATTATAAATTTCCGAAGATAACCAGGCCATTGTCACTGGCATGTCATGATGAAAGGGTTCGACTGAATCAGGAATTTGTAGGAGAATAATCCGTAAATGGGATTCGATCAGCAGTCTACAAAAGAATATTTACCTGCGATACAGTGTGAGCAACATGAGTAGACATAAGATTGGCGTCTAGAGCAATACCCGCTATCGACTGGTCAAATGTATCTAAGGTTAAATTGATCCTGTAAATTTCATTTGCGTAACGAAAAAGAAAAATTCAAAAATAAGTTATCTGAAGGAAGTGATAATGAGACTACTGAAGAGGATTATTTAATGACCTGGATGCAAGCTGTCCAATTTGTGAATTGATATGACCAACGAGAGTGCCCAGTTGAGCCAACGTGTAGCTGAGCTCTTCGATTGTCTTGTCCACTGACATTCCGAATATCTTCAACTCAGTCCGAACCAACAACTCGCTTCTGCAGCAAATTTCAGTTGCAACCTCTTCGAAACTGAGTTCAGTTATAAAACACTCAAATTTGGTCTAGCTAATAAAAAGGCGCAAAACTGTATTTTTTTGAAAAGCATGATTTCGAGCATCAAATTTAGTTATTAGCACCATCGGTGCCGAACTTGGCTCACTTTTCATTTTAGGGCTATGGCTAAGAATATAAATTAAGTTCAAAACACAGACTGTGCAAAATGGACTTGCAGTTTACTGGCAGCCTTCGGATAATTTGGACTGCTTGGCCGTCTTGAAATCTAAGCGCAGTTCCATGAACGGCCCTCGATTTATGCCTCCCGATCACTGTTAATTGGTTCTGGAAAAAATATGACAAAACAAGGAAGCAGGAAAAGGTCACGGACAAAACTCGAGGGAAAAAGCTGCTTGTAACGAAAAAAGCATAAAATACGATTTCTTCAATGGAAAGACCATATTTTTTATCAAAGAAATAACGTAGATGAGAAATTTTGCGCTCGGTAGATTGTGATAATCGATGAAAGCCACGCATGGATGACTAGTATTTACAAAGCACAAATAACTGGCCAATGCACGGGCTGCCCGTGCCAAGATGCGTTTTTTGCATAGTTCGCCGCAGTTTTTGTCACTACCGGCATCGGTTTTTTTGGGCAAATATTTCTAGCTAAACAAATTAAGACTGGCCACCAGAACTGGTAGGAAACAGCTCCTAAAAATTTCAGCTTTCTAGTTTTCCTAGCTCCTGAGTTAGCAACTTGCTGGAAAAAAACTTTCACGGGTCCATACGCAGGTACAACACATACCCGATGTCTGGGTTTGAGCTCGTTGATACTTACTTGGACGGGGAATATCTTAAAACTACAGTCTTTTAGCTTTTCAGGTTCTCGAGTTATGAACTTACCCAAAGAAAACTTTGGTGCATCCGTGCGTAGGCACCACGCATGACCGAGGGCTGTGTTTTAGTTCGTTGAGACTAATGTGGATAGGGAACATCCTCTTAAAATTTCGGCTTCCTAGCATCTCAGATTCCCGAGTTATGGACTTACCCGGAAAAAATTTTGGCGGGCCCGTACGCAGGTACCACATCTACCCGGGGCTGGGTTTGAGCTCATTAATATCTACTTGGACGGGGAATATCCCTTTAAAATTTCAGCCTTCTAACTATTCTGGTTCGCGAATTATCTCAACTTACCCGAGAAAAATTTTGGCGATCTCTTACGTGTGTACCACGCGGGTAGGACCACCCATTTCGGGGATGGGGACCCGTACGTGCATGTAGATAATGTCTCCAAAGTTTCAGCCCTGTAGCTTTTGTCGGTCTCGAGATGAAAAATCGGTACAGACGAACACACACACACACACATACACACACAACCCCTCGTCAGTATGCGTTTTCTGCATTGCGTAGCTGCAAAAACGCATAAAATTTGAGTAAACTAGAAGTGGTGGCAGATACATATGATTTTTGCGCGAGAGCATTCAAATCGTTAACAATATGAATGTTCGTTTTTCACAGTCTGCTATGTGAACTAATGTCGGAAATGTTCATGTTGGCCTTTTGCTTGCGTGGGAGAAAGGGTTGTTAGATGTGACGTCAATGTTGCGCTGTGGAGCTCTCAGGATTTCAGGTTTCTAACATTTCTATGGGGAGAGGATGCCTACAATTTTGCAACCTGAATTTTGCCTTATCCGTGTGAAAGAGACAGGAGGTCGTGAACTGTGGTATTACATTTTGTGTGTCACACAGAATTTATCGGCATTCTAAAAGTTTTCAGCTTTCTGGCCCATCTGTTTAACAAGAGAAAAGGATGAAGACAGATTGTAAACCTAACATTTAACACATCCATATGTGAAGGGCATTTGTACGTAACCCGGGCTGAAACGCACCAGGCGAGCCGGTGCGATCATGCGTTTTTGCGCCAGACTTGAAATAATTTGGATAACTGCATGAGTGGTTGGTTTTTTATGCGTTTTTTGCAGCAATGCAATGCGAAAAGCGCATATTGACGAGAGGTTGTCTGTGTG